AAAAAATAGCCACTGAGCCAAAATTATTCGTTGTCATTAACAAATTAAGTAACTTGATGAAACGCAAGTGAAATTTTATGTAAAATGGTCCCTCGCGACGTCTGAAATACTGCTAGGCAATTTGCCGTAGACAGACATATGTATGTATGTATGTATTTTAAAGCGAATGTTTGAAAAAAAGCTTCAATTGCGTCTGTTTTCATAACTTCAGTTGCACATTCATTTATTCGCGGAAAATATTCATTTGAATATGGTTTACAGAGGCAGCTTCATTTTTGAGGAATAGCTTATTAAAGAATTTACTATGGTTAAGCGGGCAGCGCACAATGGGGCGTTAACATATAAACTGCGGCTAAAATTAGGAACCGTGCTCTAACATAAGTTTTTAAACTTGTTTATAGAAATACAAATTTTATTTTTAATCAAATTAATTTGAATTTCGTACCAGTTCTCTCTTAACATCTAAATTTATCCGTCTAGTCTTTCGAAAATGTGTGAATATTTAATTGAAGAAATGAAAGTGTGTTGAAATTTTGTACCTTCTAGTGATACACTCAATTTTACCCATTCGCAGAAGAATGTATTCTTCCCACCTTTTATCAAATCTGAGCACGTCTTTTATGTTTTATGTTGTAAGAACTTGCACCTACAATAAAGTAATTAAAAAAAAAATGGTATGGATGTGATGAAAAAATAGGAGAATACTCCAGACTACCGTACACTGCGCCACAAATTTTATAAAAAAAAAAAAATAATAAATAAATAAAATTTTTGTGACTAATGCTTGCGTAGCCAATATTTTATATTTTGTATATTTGGCTTTGTTGTTATCGTTATTCTATTTTGTATTGCATTTGTATCGTTATTCTACTACAAATGTGAAAAAAATTCGTTTTTTTTTGATACTTTTGATCCCTAATATACCCTGCAGGGAAAGCTACTAGTTGTGAACTAGAATTCTACCGGTTTTCGTTTCAGCCCAACTAGTTCACATTCTATCCTTTTTGAATGTTAGCGACTGGTATTTTTAACATTGCGATGTCCTACGAGATGTCAATTGTCAGGCTATGCATCAGCATCTACTAGTATAAATACTAGTAGCATCATTTTTTATAAATTTATTTTTTGTTTAGGCTGTTTATTGTAATTTTTAAATTTAATAAAAAAAAAATATTTTTGTTTAATTTCTTTGTTTTTATAGCACAAGCATTTCTTCCTAAATGTATTTTTGCAACACATTTAGATGATCAAATTTGTTATTTATTTATAAATTGAATAAATTATTTTTGCTTACATTTATTTAACTTTAAAAATCTTAACCCCCTCCAAGCGGCCTCGAACCTGCAATTTCAGAACCAGAACCAGTAGTCGTCACGTGACGCCACAGCCGACATTTGTAAGAAAAGCAATTATAATTGCGTTTTATTTTTGGCTTTGGCAATTCAAAGGCAGATGTCGCTAATCGCCTAAGTTCTTCGAAATTGTCGAACTGGTAGGCACATACTACTTAATGAACTAGTATTTTTTCTAACTGGTTTGGCTTTTCACTGCAGGGATATGTATATCTCAAAAAAGTCAGTATAGCTCCGCCGCAAAGGGGCCAGTGTATCTATACGTGCATATACACCTAGAAAAATAAACTATTTACCTCGTCTAGAAAAAAAATCTGATTCTTTCAAATCTACATATTAATTTTTTTTTGTATTTACTCGTATATATACTAGTTTTTTTTTTTGATTTGGTTTTGCTGAATATTCGGCAAGTATTCTGCATTACATCTTCGCAAATAAAAAGATTGGATTTTTTTGTTCATTTATTACCACTGTAGTCCCCTATGGGGCGCCATATGGTGACGGAGTAAAAAATAATTAATCTTACGAGAATGTTAGTGCGCTTACCATTGCGTAAAGAAAAATTATGCCATTAAGGCTGATTGTGAGGATGGCGTTTTTTACGTGAAGCCGTTTTTGGTGTCTTGTTTAAAATACCCAATGTTATTAATATTTACCAAGTTACATAACGCTAGCTTATTTTTACCTAATTAATAGGGTACAAAAAAACAAAATATCATAAATCATTAAAAAAATATCAGCCGTGCTTCAAAGTATAAAAAAATCCTGAAAGCATTTATTTAGAAAAATTATTTACTGGATTCACATAACTACCTACATACATACATAAATGGAGCAGTGAACAGCCTAATTCGCATAATATTTGTTAAAGATATGGTATTCACCCAAACTGTGTAGAATGAAGAATATCCTAAAATTTGATTAAGTGCCAACTTTAGGAGACGTAAAAAGTACTTAAATTTTCAAAATGATTTATACGAGTATGTATGTGTAGTCGCAAACACAATAAAAGTTGCAGTTGTAAATTATACGTACGTTCATTTTGTACAAGAAAGTGAAAGAAATTTTACAAAATAAGCACATTACCTCAAATGATCGCTTTTGTTGTGCCTAATTCGAATTAAGAAAAGGCCGCTATGGTTACGCTAGGTTAAGAGGGCGTGTGTGGAATATTCCATACTTTCACTCGAAGGAAGGAATTATCAGGAGGAGACACGTACCCTTAAGCGAGAGAATAGTTTCAAGTCGTTATTATGCTGAACCAATTACTATCCTTAATGCAGCCAAGGAGATCTTGTAGTTGAACCTCCGCTATCTAGCTCAGTCTGTTGAAGAAGCGTGAACCGAAGTGCTTGAGTCGCTTTGTCTGTAGACCTGGACATCCACACAGAAAGTTGTCAATTGATTCTTCCTCATCCTCATCACGGCAGCTTCTGCCGAGAGTACTTGTTGGTATTCGCCAGCGCTGAAGCATTGGTGCGAGAGCACCGTGTCCTGCGGTGACGCCGGTAAGGACTCTTACTGCAGACCTATAGAGTTTAAGTACGTCCCTCGTCTTATTCCTACTAAGTCGCGGTCATAATAATCTTGTGTTCTCACAGTCTTCCCGTTTGTTTTACAAGTCATTAGTCGCGGCCACGGAGCATTCATCAATTTTCCTAACGTGATTACTAAACGGTGGTAGCACGGAGCTATCCAAGTTTTCTATTAGTATCTCTGAGCCTCATCATACCGCCGACTAATTCCCTTCAATATTGCTATGTCCGAGGATAAGATCCAGCATAGAGTGACGTTGATATAGCTTAGGGTTGCCAGCGTGGTACTACATTTCCCGATTTTACAATTGTAGATCGTATTGCCTTCAGTTCTTCTTGACTGTCGACATAGATAGTGGCTTTGTCTTCTGCCACTCTACTACTAAGTAAAATACTAGTCGCCCTCTCTATAAGCGTAGATATCCGCTTGAAAGACACTGAAATCGTTTGGTAGACGGAAGGACGGGTTGATCTGCAGGTTCTTCGACCCTGGCTCTGATCCCTTGTTCCATATTTGAACCGTCAGTGAGGATGGATATACCCCCTCTGCTACTGGCAGTCCATGCATCGCATTATTCTCTAGTTGAGAATCCATCAGGTACCTTCGTATTGAAGTCCCAAACAGATGTAATTTAATCTGGCTTTTATGCCAGCTTTAATACCATTCAGTCGCCCCCTTTATTTGATTCGGCATTTCTGCATGCCTGAAATTGATTGTCTTCTACGTTGCTGTACTCTTTTTGTTGCAATAAGGCAAACGGTAATAAGGCAACAAATTTGCAATTGAAAATAAAACCATAATTTCGATATGACATTGAATCCAACTGGAAATGGAAATAAAGCGCTGGTCGCGAACGTGAGCGCGACTTGAACGCGGCGCGGCGCGGGGCACCTTCAAAATTTTTACTTACATGCACACATAAACACATACTAATTTATTCTTTTCACACATAACCGTCCATTTAACTTGTTCATGTACTGATTTTTTCTTGAAACTGTGAATTTAATGCTTTAACTGTTCCAACCTGGTTATAAGGTTCATAAAAAATTCCGCAGATGGCCCTAAAGGCAAATTCGAAACGGCATTAAAGTCAGTTGACACTATGACTATTTAAAATGGACATAAGGCCCTTTGATGTGGTCATAATGCCCATCTCCAAAATGGCCATGGCATTTATGTCTCCCAACCGAAATTTTGTCAAATGTAACTGGGTGGTGGGACTATGTGCACTTTTGTTAAATTTAGAACTTATTGCTCAACCAGAAATGAAACAAAGCAAATTTGTGTTGTGTAACTTTCAATTGGGAAATAACAAAAATTTGCTTTATTGCGGTTTGCTTTATTGCATAAAGGAGTTCTGTCGCAAAAACGTATATGTATCTGAATTATCAGTGGTATAGGAGATAAAGCTTATACAGCACCGATCTTGACGATTTTCTTAGTGAACTTTGTATGATTATTTAGAAAATAGCTAGCGAAATTTATCGATTTTTAAGAAAACCCCTATATTCTGTTGATAACAATTTCGAACAATTTTGTAGTCAAAATTTGACATAGTGGAAACACCTTTAGTAAGAAAGAACACGACAAACAAATTTCACTTTTCAATCGCGTAGATAGTATCTATGGAACTATCTTTGCATTACAGGCAGTGAAAGGGCTAAAAAAACGTGTTGGTCGTGAATGGGTTAATTTACGAGAGATTGTATGCTTTACGCTATGCTTAAGGTTTTTGGTGCTTGAAGCCTTATTTAATTTCGCATACAAAAAGTGATCATTTGACGTATTGTGCAACGTTGATAATTTTAAACAAGTTTTAATTTTTTTGTTAATTTTTTCCAAGATTTTCTATTCTTTAACAAGCTTGCCATATTCGCTAAAAATAAATATTAACAAATTTTGTATTAAATATGTATGTACAAATAAATAATAGCTTCTAATATTTTTTTTGTTATTTTTTCATCTTTAGTTCAATAAATAATTTCTTTGGACAGATGTATAATACTTAAGCCTAACTAAAGTAATAAATAAAATCGCCGGATTATCTTCAATTAGCACTCGAATTCGTACGTTTCAAAACCGCTTTCAATAAAACAAAAGCTGGCTGGTAATTTAGGATTGTCTTTGCCCAGAGAAAGCCATATCCTGCGCGTCTTGTGGCTCCTGAGATGAACGCGCCCAAGCGTGTGGGTCCCAAGCAGGTGATGGATGCTCGAAATGCTCTACATGTTCCACATGTGGAGGCAAATCTATGTGGTGATCGACATGGTGATCCACATGGTGTGGCACGATGTCAATGTGATGCGGCACAATGTGGTCGACATGGTGGGGGAAATGATCGACGTGGTGTGGAATGTGTTCAATGTGCTCCACATGCTCCACATGGTGTGGATAGTGTACCACTTCGTAATTGATGATCTGCAGCAGAGCATAACGAGTGGAGAAGGTAATGTAAAATGTAAAAAACTATGCAAATCTGCATAAGTGCAACTATTATTTACCTTAGGCTTGGCAATTTTGAAGACAACCAAAGCGCCGGATAGCACCAATGAGAGCAGACCCAGTGTCATTGCCTTCCAGGTCTTGAGCGCAATCAAAGCCAATGCAAGTGGCACTAAGACGGTAGTCTTCAATTTCAAGCCAATGAGGAAGGGTANTTAAACAAGTTTTAATTTTTTTGTTAATTTTTTCCAAGATTTTCTATTTTTTAACAAGCTTGCCATATTCGCTAAAAATAAATATTAACAAATTTTGTATTAAATATGTATGTACAAATAAATAACAGCTTCTAATATTTTTTTTGTTATTTTTTCATCTTTAGTTCAATAAATAATTTCTTTGGACAGATGTATAATACTTAAGCCTAACTAAAGTAATAAATAAAATCGCCGGATTATCTTCAATTAGCACTCGAATTCGTACGTTTCAAAACCGCTTTCAATAAAACAAAAGCTGGCTGGTAATTTAGGATTGTCTTTGCCCAGAGAAAGCCATATCCTGCGCGTCTTGTGGCTCCTGAGATGAACGCGCCCAAGCGTGTGGGTCCCAAGCAGGTGATGGATGCTCGAAATGCTCTACATGTTCCACATGTGGAGGCAAATCTATGTGGTGATCGACATGGTGATCCACATGGTGTGGCACGATGTCAATGTGATGCGGCACAATGTGGTCGACATGGTGGGGGAAGTGATCGACGTGGTGTGGAATGTGTTCAATGTGCTCCACATGCTCCACATGGTGTGGATAGTGGACCACTTCGTAATTGATGATCTGCAGCAGAGCATAACGAGTGGAGAAGGTAATGTAAAATGTAAAAAACTATGCAAATCTGCATAAGTGCAACTATTATTTACCTTAGGCTTGGCAATTTTGAAGACAACCAAAGCGCCGGATAGCACCAATGAGAGCAGACCCAGTGTCATTGCCTTCCAGGTCTTGAGCGCAATCAAAGCCAATGCAAGTGGCACTAAGACGGTAGTCTTCAATTTCAAGCCAATGAGGAAGGGTAGAAGCACTTTGCGCACCATGCCGCGTCCTAGAAAATAATCGCGTAATCAAAATTCGAAACACTACCTTTGATTTCTTCTCACTTCACTGAAGACATACCTTGATTGGGGTCACGCTCCGCCAAGGGCACCACGGAATCCTTGGTCAAGGCGTTACTGAACAAAAAGTCTGGCACATAAGAGCGCGCCTCCTCGGTGCTGAAGAATTCTGGTGCTCTGACACGCAACGCGTGCGTGGCTAAGAAATTGTCGATGTCATTGAACATCTGTTCTTGTGGGTCGTAAGAGCGCTGTTGTATGGGTTCTACACGGCTTGTGCGCACAATCGAAAGTTTATCGGTGATTTGGATTTCATCCTGCTGAAGTGCCTGATTGAACCATTGCATTGCCTTAGGTTGCACGCAACTAGTGCTGAAATCCTTCAAGCAGCTGTTGTACATGTCGAATGCCAGGTCCGTGGCGGAGCGTGTAGGCGTCAGTTGCGCGGTACCCGCCGTTGCAGCGCCAGCAGTTAGCGCCACCACAAAAACTATGGCGAACGTCCTCATCCTCGTCGTTGTTTGTTGTTGCCCTCCGAAACTGACACGGATGGTTGGTTGGTTGGTTGATCGGTCGTCGGTGGGTGCGTCTTTTCGCACAGACAATCCAAGTGGGTATGTAAATGGTGTCTTAGCTGTTTGAGGTTTTTATACGACATCGTACTTTTAATCAATTAATTTGCGTTTTGTCACCGAATCGAATTGACGCTGCCGCTGCCGGCGTTGCGTGCGACCGTTCTCCGCGGTCTTTGCAACTTTCCTTTGCATTGACGCTCTCCTCGGTAGATTTCTTTTGTTTTAAGCGTTCGATCGCTTGTTTGTTACGCATTTTCGCCATTTGTTTTGGTCTCATATTCGCTAAACGTGCAGGTATTATGGGCATAATTGACCAATAGCCAAAACACGCTCGATTTCACTAGCGTTTCTTTACGTTGAGTGTGTTGACGCTGTTGGCTAAGAATGCCATTCTCACCGACTTGCTTTTATTCGAGCGCTGCGTACGTGTGTGAAGAATTTCAAAGTTTCAACAAGAATTACTTTCAATACTGTTATAATCTTTGGTATTTATATAAAAGGAATGTATAACCTTAAATTGTTTGTTCTGTTGTGAGCACTAACCGGAAGTAATTATTCATGGTCGTTCTTCAAATATTCAGTGAAAACTGAGCTTTTGCTATTGAAAGAGAAATTATGTAATACCCTACGTGATATACATATGTACATATTTATATACTGTATTTTAAAACTGAATAAATGAAGTGTGTCGTAATTCGTTTTGAGTCACCAGCGAGCTCTGTTAGAGGGGTATTTTTAAGCGGTCGCCCCTCGCCAAGCAAAGACAAACCTTCGCGTGTATTAATACTCAGGGCGGCGTTAAATTGTAGGTTCCTCTATTTGTATTAAATTAGGAGAGACATCGCAGAAAAATGAAATTTGTCGTGCCGATTCAGAATATGCAAAGTAAGAAAAATTCGAAGTTTCGGCAATATCGGTGCATGGGACATGACTACCTTCCATACATCCTATTACAATTATAAGCAGAATAAAGCGAAAATTGTTAGCTTTCCGTAAAATTATGTCCTTAAGCTCTGTGGAAAATTTCGTTTCGTTCGGTGCAAGGATATGACTACCTCCCATATATCCTTTTTCTCAAAAACTAGATTTTAGCTACATTTTTGATCATAATTTACTAAAAACTAATAATAACTTATAAAGTTAAACTTTTTAACTCTTTGGAGAATTTTGTTTCATTTGGTATCAGGAAATGACTACCTCCTTTATGAATTTTAGTTATTGAAAATTATTGAAAAAAGGAGAAGGTTATCAATTCGTCGGAATATTTGTTTTTTAATGTATGTTGCCTCATAACTTTGGACTAAGTTAACCGATTTCTATATTTTTTTTTGATATTCAACAATAATAAAAACATATAATTTTTTTTCAAAGAAAAGGTATGGTCCCATACTAATTTATTTTAACTACGACCATTGGATCATGAAGAAGTCGGTTTGGTTTTTTGCTTAAAAATTACGTGTTTTGATAAAAGGATCATAAATAAAAATTTTTCTAAATTTGCTCAATAAATAAAATAACTTATTTCAAACGTAATTTATAATGTTGTCTTTCAGAGTGTATATCTCAATTTCTTCAAATTCATATATTTTTTTTGTAGACCAAAATGATGATAGTTCCGGATCTGACATTAATAACAAATGAGCCATTAAGTCTCTTTTCGTTTTCCTTGTATGGGAAAATGTCACATGCCTTATATTTTTATGACTGGCTTCTAAGGCTTCTTCGGACATGCGCAATGGAATAAAATAATAATAAATAATAAAATTCCTAAAACCTTTTTTAATTTCTTATTACCTATTGACAAGTTGAAGTGTTTCATAACATCATACCCATGTAACTAACATTAACCAGGATTCCGCAGAATAAAACTCTTAATATTATGCCAAAATTATCAATAAGTCTTCTTCAATACTCGTAATCTCGTTTTGATTTTTTTTTTGTGATTCGTGATTTTTATATATTAGTTAATATTTTTTGTCTTTATAAAATAAAAACTTTTGATGTGATTTTGATTCTTTTTCCTACTTATTGTTAGGTCTCTTAAACAAGTATGTAAATGAAAAATAAAAATTCGTCTAAGTACTTTTTATTTATATATGTTTTTGGTTTTGTCAAAATTTAGGGTTTCCGCCAAGAAAAATATTATTACTTCCAATTTTATAGATATTATATTCAAGTTGCGACAAACAATAACAAAAAAAAAATGGAAGTAATAAATTTTTTTTTTGACGGAAACCCCAAATTTTTTCAAATTTTGACAAAATTAAAAAAACTAGGTTCAGGGAATTTCTAACCACGCAGTTTTGCACCACCCTATTGTACATACATACACTCGTGGTCAAGTATGTATACCTTTCCAAGTCTTTTTTTAAATGTTGGTAGAATTTTGTAAATGAATGAGAAATTTTTATTTTTTTTTTAATATAGTTCAAACCGCAACAATAAAATATAATAATAATAATATATAAATATAAGTCTCAAACTTTATAGAAAAGGATTAAAATTTTCATTAAAATTTTAAATTTTTTAATCAAAATTTTTAGAAAAATTTCTGATATGCAGCTTATTAGCCAATATAATTTAAGTTTAATAATGTGCAAGTTTGGAGTGACTCAAAATTCTCGGAGATTTTTAAAAATTTTTTTCCGACGGTCTTGTGTAGTTTTTCCATGTAACGAATGCTTTTTAGAGAAAAATGCAACATCGTATGAAAAGAAATGTTAAAAATTCAATTAGAACATTTCGGTCATTTCAAGGTTGCACTTTGTTGTACTAAAATGAAATGTGTTGTTAAACCCGAAAAGTTCCTAAAAATTTTTATAAAAAGTTTAAAATTTTGATGAAAGTTTGATAAATTTTTCTTAATATTTTACAAATTTTGAGATTTCTTTATATTATTTCTATTGCGGTTTGAACTATATTAACAAAAAAAAAAAACTGAATAAATTATTAATTTCGAAATTCTACCAAATTTAAAAAAAAATTGTGGTAAGGTTCGCGTGGCCACGAGTGTATTATGAGTCTATGAAAGCAATTACATATATATTTGGGATTTACATTGTCCATCCACTATGTCGGAGAATTGATATTTAAGCAGGTCTAAACACAAATACAAAAAAGGCAAAATAAAAAGGGACATGATTTTAATTTAAGCTTCTTTCATGTGAAAGTGAAATGCGAATATTCCTTCAACACTTGCTAGCATTTAAGACGAAATTGAAATTTGAGCCCACTGAAAAACGCAAATGTGTGCGTTGCGGTAAAAGTAAATTTTCAATTTTAACCGTTTAAAGTCATGCCTCTGAGGCTCTGCCATTCGACCAAGTGGAACTGCCTTACCTTTCCCAACCGCTTGCTTTTGCAATTGACAGTTTGGCAGGCGAAATAGGCACAAGATTTTTCAAACCCGGTTGTGATTGCGGAAGGCAGCTAACTTTGATTTTTAATCGTTATATTGGTTCAGCTAGGCGGCTGTTTGGTTTAACAACTTTTTTTTAGTTGCTTCGTTTTTTTTTTTTTTTGTTTTAACACATAGGGAAATCAAGCTATTTGGGTGCCCACGTGCATATCTCGCGCAAACAGTGTACGTGCCAGGAAAATTAAATTGTCACTTAATAGGCTTTTCTGCAAAAAACGTTTGCCAGCAGCGGCTTCGAGGAAAATTTGTTTATGTATGTATATACAGCGTTGCCTCTGTTTTCGCTAAAGAGCGTTAAGAGCGCTAAAGAGAAGTTGTTTCAGTTGATAAAGAAAAATGTAAATAAATAGTAAATCATGTTAGTACTTACAAACATTAACTGATAGAAGTCGGCCAGTTCATTAACTGGTTTGAGTTGATTCAGAGTCCGACCAGTTTGAAAAGTCCGATGCTAATTCAATGTGAAACTAAAAACCGGTATTTATGGACGTATTTGTTTCATATAGAATGTATATTACTTAAATGGAAAGATATAACTCCACAAAAAATTTAGCCGTTAGGTGGTGCGGGGGTCGATTTTTTTCGATTTTCGATTTTTCGGTACACAATTTATTTATTTGAGGAATTTACATCACTATTATATTGCATATATTGCAATTGTCGTATTGGAAACTAAGTAATATTTTGTGTTTTTATTTTGGTCACCTCTATCCTCGAAGGCATTCTTACAATAAAATTTGTTATACAGGATTTGACGTTTGGCGAGTTTTGCCACACTTTCCGAGTTTAGTTTCCGATAAAAAGCAAAAGTGTTTTAATTTTGAATATTTCTTTTTAGGTTCTACTAAAGTAAGAAAACAGTTTAAAATATAAACTTTACAAAAAACAAGTACATCTAACAAATTTACGTATAAAAAGAAACTGTCTTTATTTGTAAATTTCATCAGAATACAAGAAAACTGCGATTGGTTATATATACATACACTAATCTCAAAGATAGCAAAAAATAACAAGAAATTAAAAACTTTCTTCAAGTGGAAAAATTGTCGAATTTCAACAGCTATTCCTCCTAAACTACTCATCTCGTAAAAAAGAAAAAAAATTCATGGTCTCTGGATACATTATCGAACGCTGTACAGTGCGGCCGAAATCCAAAAGGGCGAATCCTTTGTCAGAATTGCAAAATTCAAAATGGTTATGCACTAAATATTAAAAAATTTTCCGCGTGTCATAATTTTAAGAGCACCACATATTGACAAGTTTTAACAATTTTTATTTAATTTTAATTATTTAATTATAAAAATATAAACTATTTCTAGCTGGTTTTGCTAATTTTAAAATTAAAATAAGAAGAACTACGTTTTTCTCCGATGACTAGCAAAAAGCCAATTGAAAATTTTCTTTATTTCCTTTTCTTAGTTTAGGGTTGCATTTTATCTTACATACTAAAATATTCAGGGTTGCTAATTTTCATAAAAGATAATTATAACTTGAGTTGTCACATAGTGTAGAATTG